TTCCATTCAGGTAATGGCACATGCCTTGGTTGTGGGCTCAATCCCCAGTAGAGGGTGTGCAGTAGGCAGCCAATCAATGATTCTCATCACTTATGTTTCTATCTCTCTCTCCCTCTCTCTTCCTCTCTGAAATCATAAAAATATATATTAAAAAAGAAAGAAAGTTGCTGTACCTACGGAGTGGGGAACATCCGGCCTGAGGGCCATATAAGGCTGCAAACTCATTGGGTGAGTGAATTCCATGTTTGACCAATACAGCAGGCTAATGTTTAAGTTGATAACTGTGTTTGGCCCAAGAATGATGTTATAAACACCCACATGGCCCTGGGCAGGAAAGGGTCCCCACCCCTGGTGTACCCAGTGCGAGCTCCTTGAGAACCCATTTCCCTGAAAGATTCCTGCTCACACCATCTGACCTGCTCCCCCACTCCCCCAACTCCCAACCCCTGCTGGTTGCCAAGAGAGACCCTGATGGCCCACCTCCCGGTGACCAGGACATGAATGAAAGGGAGGGCCAGCGCCGGGGGCCAAGGCTGATGGTCAGTCAGAGCCATGAAGCCAGCCTCAGGGAAGGACTCCAGCCCAGGTCAGGCCCACGCTCGCTGAGACTTCAGTCCCGGGGACAGGGGTACGGGACGCGACCTCAGGCCCAAAGCTGAGTGAGTGGCAGCAAGAAGAACAAGCGGACGATCTGTACAGGCAACAACGTGGATGGGTCACAGAAGCCCCATGAAAGAGCCAGACCCCAGGCCACCCCTGGGCCAGGTGATCCCACTTGTCTGACATTCCGGATGGAGGCAGAACTATCAGATCCTCATTGCCCAAGGTTGCGCAGGGGGCGGACGACAGGGACCCCAGGGGGCTGGATATGGGGGGCTTTGCTCTAGATCTCAATAGCAGTGCTGGTCACACCACTGCACAGATTTCCCAACACTGACCAAGGACACACAGCAAGGGTGTTACTGAGTGTAAACCGTGCCTCATTAAAGCGGAATTAAAACAGCGACCAAGGAGCAGGAACAAAGGAGGAACGACTGGGTCACGGAGGCGCTGAGATGGGGGAAGGGAAGAGCTTCCACGTGGGGGCAACAGGCACCCCTTAGTGCTACCCCCAGGGCAACAAGGAGACTTGGGAGGAGTTGGGAGCCCATCCCCAGATCCCAGGGGGCTGTCTGAATTCCAGGCTCCACTCCAACCAGGTGAGTTGACTGCCTCTGTGTTAGTCACTGAGCTCACAGTTTCCAGCCTGAGGGTGTCTCCTCAGGCAGGGCCACTGGCATTAAGCACCCTGAGTCAATCTTTCCGGGAGCACTGGGCCCAGCTGCCGGGGGGTGAAAGCCCTACAGAGGCGGACGCTGGGAGACAGGGAAAGCTGCTGCCCGGCCAGCCCCGCCGTGGCCC